AGCAGGAAACTGATTCTCACTAAGGCTTACAAGATCTCTTACAGCATAAAGTTGTAACTATAGTCTTTAACTTTAATAAAATGTTCTTTCAAAACACTTAACTCTTTTTACTATAAACCACGAGGTGCAATTTTTTTTCTGTGCAAAAACCAATAAGAGACCTAGTTACATGGACCTCACTGAACTCTTTCCAGATTGATGACAATATTAGAATTATACTCCAATTAAAAGTAAATGATAGTTTGGGTTAAATTGCAATATATTGCGGTGTCCAGTACTTTCATAAATCAAGCTTTTATTCTGAATTTATACCATTTTTAACAATAGCAGAATTGGTCTTTCAGTTTAAGCTAACGTTAAAATATTTGTGTTTTTTAGACAAATGGCATAGTTCTGCTTGGGAATAAGCACAGATATTACCCTGTTTTAATAACCAGAATATCCCAGTGTTTGAAATTAACATTACCTACACAATCTGATTAAAAAAAAAAAAAAAATCAAGCAAATCAGTAGTAGCCTTTCCTTTTTCTAATGATACAATTCAAATACAACTGTAAGTCACTGTCTTATATATGCAGTTCTCTCAGTGAAGTGGGAAATCTGGTGAAAGGACTGCAGTGATTGGCTCTTTTATGTCAAACATGAATTTTAAAGTTCATCCTTGGAAAAGGAAACAAATAGGGCAATCAACTTCCACAAAGAAGAATACGTACACACTGGGGAAACTGCAGAAATACAGCAGCAATGAAAATTAACAGATGTTTTGAAAATTCACTGATTCAAGAAGTACAAACCTGTGCAAGTGGCTTATTTTCATTCAGCTGTTCATGTTCAAAAAATCTGTCTAATCCTTGCTCTTTGACAATCTGTTCTGATTCATCGGAAAAGAGAACCGCATCCCCATCAAATGCCACCCTCAACTGTGTATCCGAGTAAGCAACATCTTTGTTGGCAGTGAACATCGTAGCTGATGCAATGCCTGAAAATGGATCAGAGAACCTCAGTTAGCATGTCCTGCAAAGTCATTCATTAAACTGTCAGCAGTTCGGTTCCAACAATTTATTTGTGGTGACCTATATATGTGTTGAGCAGAAACGACCACTAAAGCTAATTAATAATGGCTGTTCTGTAACACGAATGCATGGAAGCTGTCCCATTGACATAACTTCTTAGACATGCCTCCTTCCACTTCCATGTAAGAATATAAAAAAAATGGTCCACAAATGAGACAAAGCAGGAAATTCCAAGGAGACCATTGAATCAAACTACTTGCTGTGTTTTAACTCCTTACAAAACACAGAAGTTGGTTTTTGTAAGTCATACCAAAGAGATGACTCTATGCAAACAGAAGTTGAATAGAGGTGAGTACGTGTGTATGGGAGTTCACGTCTTGTACCATGAGAGAAGACAGAAAGGTGTGACAAAGGTAGAGGGTTGTCATTATCAGCAGGCTGAAGGGTCAGAGAGGAACAATACAGAGAAATAACCTGATTTTATTTGATTAAGTAAAAATAAGTGATAAGTTTGCACCATACAGAGTTGTGACTTCCTACATTTGATAAAGCAGCACCGCTTTCTGTGAAAGACACACAATATATTCATTTTTTAACAAACTCAATGGAGAAATGACAAAAGAAAGTCAATTCAAACCTGCTTCTATAGCTTCTTGCACTTTTTCAGAGTCTGCTGAGAGGTACAAGTTTGTAAGGTACGCAGTCAGGTAACCAATAGGGCTTTTTCCTCCCGTCATACAGAAACGTTCAATTGTTAAGCCTAAAGGAAGAACAGCACAACAAGGTGTGACTCTGCCTTGACACTACAAACCTGTAAAAGGAACCCATAAACAGATACACTAGACTACAGCTGACAGTAAAAAAGAAAAATGTTCACTGTAATTTCAATAAGTTAGACAACTTAAACTGACTATAATGTTTGATCAGCCCTTCCTCCTTGAGAATTCAAAAAAGAATCCCTCTAAGACAGCAGAATAACTGCTGTGAAGGTATATGTATAGGGGCGTAAATACCAAAGAACAAAAAGTTTAAGGACTTCTCAGAAATTAAGATTCACACCTGACAAGTTAAATCTAGAGCTTTGGACCAAATTCTGTTTAACACTATCTCGCTTATGCTGACACCCAAAAATAAATATCATCCTCTGAGGAATGGGTGTCAGCATCAAAGAAGCTGCTTTTACCAAGGCTGGAACAGGAAAAATAAAATTAATTCATTTTATTATGTAACACCAGGCAGTTCTACAAGGTAGCATTTATTTTACTTACCATAGTGATTGATGCTGTTTATGAGTCTCACTCCCACTTGGGCATGGTTATTGGTCATCAGAACAATATCAAATCGTTCTTCATCATCAGGGTACAGCTCAAGAAGCCGGGCATTGACATGCTCCAGCGCCTGCAGGTTAAAAATGTGGAAGTCAATAGACAAGTGGAATATGCCTCATTTCTTAATCACTGTGGTTTCAGTGATAGGACTGTCTTGAAGGGGAATGTGAAATACCTGATAGTTGAACTTGCTGAACTTGTTTTATTCCTTTCTGCTCTGCTGCTCCCAGCAACCATTTGACTGGGTTCATTTGAAGGGAAGCAAGTAATTTTATTTTACTGTGTTATAGAATTTAACTTTTTCATGGAAACCCTTTTTCTTGGGACACCATGATCATCCAGAATAAATCAATGCATTGCTGAACATTATCACAGTCCCTATTAATTTTTTTTTTTTCCTTTGTCCACTTGAATCTTGGACTTGGGACTTTCTTGTCCACTTGAAAATTGTTCTTGTGAAATCAAGGAGAAGGTGTAAAGGAATTTATACGTGCAACTACTTGTTTTGCATGCACAAATGTGAATCTGGACCGCATACTTATGCAAAGATTTACTGACACAGTTCAGGTGGTCAGGTGTCAAGGACTGTCCTTAAGTAATGAGTACCAAATCATATCCTGTCAAGCATGATTTCCTTGAACATTTCTGATTGCAGTACTAAATGAGACAGATTTTGATTCATTTAAGATCTCTTTTAAGATAATGGGCCAACATGTTATATCCACAGTTTGGCATTCTTGCTTTCTTGACCTTCCATCTGCTCAACTCTCTCTGTATCCATCTGTTCTCTCATACTATTTAGAATTTTACCCTTTTGGAGTAAGATTTGCTTTTTGCTCTAGGTTTATACACAAACATCTACTTCGGGATCTTGGCCCTTGACTGGAATTCCTTGGGATTACGGCAATAAAGTCAACAATGAATCATCAAATGAATGCAAGATGGGTTGATTTTCATTAAGGTGCTTTAAAAAGTCTGGCCAGTTGGTAAGAATTAAAACATAGATTTCATAATTAAATTCTGGGAATCTCCCTTTAAAAAGCATGGCTGTGTCACATGGGGCTATGCTTAGGAAAACTCTAAGTGAGACCCTGGTATAAGGCCTAGGAAAAAATCTTAGCATGTGGTCATAACCCATCTCTAGTGCTAATACTCTACCACACTGGCAATCTATTAAAATATTAGAGAATAAGGAAGAGTGGAGGCGGGGATGCCCTTTTTTGTCTGTACATTTTGCAGCCCAAGGAGATCCTGGTCTGTGATTAAGATTCTTAAGTGCTACAAGCATGAGATGTAATACTTTTAAGTTAGTGTCTTAAAGATTTCCATAAAGGAATCCAAACAAAAGTATATTATTTCTTTTTGCCTTCTTTGTCTCCAGAACAAACCTGCAGTTCTCTAGCCTAATGATTCCTGTAATTAAGCAATTTATGAATCTCTTAAAAAATATAAAGAATTCAAACACAAATAGCATACTGGAAGGGAACAGAGGTGAAGGTGCATTTAGCTGGGCATAATTAACAGCTCTGATTTTCAAAGTGTGAGGAGTTAAACAGTCAAATCTTGCTTACATTCAAAGTGAATTTGACATTGAACTCTAATAAATCTCTTGAAAACTGCGCTAGCAGGACTGTCTGTAGCTGCTACAGATAAGAAAAGATGCAGTAAATTCGCTAGTCAGCCTCGCCTCACTGCTGTACAAAGTGAATTATTTTACGACAATGCTTTTATGTTAAAAACATCTTTACTATGCTTTATTAACAGCTATCTGTTATATTTAGAACAGCATGGGTATTGACACAAGTAATTTTCCCACTATGTATTTCCAAAAAGTGATCAGCAATGCTGAGAATGTTTTAACTTCCTGAGACTAAAACTGAAGCGATGAAAATCTACTTTCAAAACCTGAAGGAAGTGTTCTGATGCAACTCTGCTGTCAGCAAGTATGACTGCTAATTATGATTTAATAAATTTTCCAAAATTGCTGTTGTGGAGCTTATCAAACAATTCTCCATAGACATAAAATGAACTCTGTAGATGGCATTTTTTCAAGTCAGTCCCACTAAAACCTGTGTTCCTCAAAACCATACATAGTTTTAGTTCTTTTCATTTTTTTTGTAATTTCACTTGCTTTCCGTGCTGGAGGCTATTTACCTTGGCCATTTCTCTTATCTTGTGCAATGAAAGCAAAATATTCCATTTCACCTCTGCTTAAATGCTGACTCCCAACTAGGGGGTCTATTTCTTTTGCTGGTCCTCAAGAACAATTTTCAGGGCGACAACAAAAGCAAGGAAAAATTAAAGCTGACCAAAAAAGAAAAAAAAAAGGTTCATTTCTGAGTAAAGTAATTCAAATAATATTGAATCAACGCTGTCTTTAATCATAGTAGTCCTATTATAAATGAGACATAAAAATGGAATGAGGAACTAAGATGTTCTGGTTTTTTGTTTTTTGTTGGGGGGGGGAGGAGGTTGCAACAAACTTAAAACAATTTGGGGGCCTATCCTACCTGAAAATTGTCTTAAAAGGAAAGGCACTTCGTGTGCCCCATGTCCAGCAGAAAATGCAGGCTGCTCCTTACCCTCATGCTGGGGGTAAAACTCCTGTCCCGGTGATGGGAGCAGTACGTGATCTCCCGCAGGCGTTTAGCATTAGTGCCGGCGGGAGGGGAGAGGAGGGGACAGGAGGGGACAGGAGGGGA